AAATGAAAACAATACATCACGTGATGTTAAAGTGTCTTCAAAATGTTTCACTTCCTTGAGAATTCTCCCTCAGGTATAAATGCTTTTTTTCTCTTAACTTTTCTTAAATCTACACCTTTGCAAAATTCATTACCTCTTTAGATTAGAATCCCATCTCAGAAAATCTGGTGTTTTTCTTTTCTTTGCTGCGTATACACTCTTAAAGGTGTTATATGGTTATAATATTTACATCTGCACTTGTGAAAATAAGCTTTCCATTTTTGGTAAGATTTAGAAGGTGTCTCTAAGAAAAATAAGAGGGGCTCAGCTTGGAACAGAGCACTGTGGTGGGTTGAAGTTACTATACATAGATACTTGCTGCCTCTGAGTTTTGTTTTGTTGCATACTTTAAATTGAATAGTAACCTATTGGCTTTGGTAGTAACCGTGGTTTCTGTTATCCGTGAATTTAATTTCTATGCAGAAATCTGTCTGGATTTGTTTAGCCTTAGTGTACTCCAGATTCAATTTTCTTACCCTGGCTGATATAGTTCTGTTGTACATTATGTAACTGGGGGCAGGTGAGGGGGGTGGGGAGCCCCTTTTATATCTTATGAAAAATTATTTTTCTTGGAAATATGTTTTGGAAAAGTTCTGACTTGTTTTCCTTTTGTCTTTATTCTTTTATTTTTATTTCCGCTGGTTATAGGAAAGAACTGTCAGTACAAAAATTACCTTGTATTAAATATAAATTTTGATTTTCACAATACAAACTTCTCCACTGAAGCCTTCAAGCCTTTCAGTTTTGGCTCTCAGTAATCTTGTCATAAACTAATACAAGATCAGTGCTGTTTGAGCTGATCCGTGTGTGGCTAGATGGAGTTCAGCATGTTCTACTTAATTCTCATTTCTTTGAGCATTCATGTGCTTGTATTGTCGAGGGAAAGGAATGAAGAAGACTAGTTATTTTTGCTTCAGTTTTCCCCCTGTCACACATGAACCAAGCTGCAGATACAAGAACAATTTTTGTCTCCATTTATACAGTTCAAAAAATTCAGGAAAACAAACAAAAGCAGAGAATCACTGTTCTGTTTTATTTCTTTCTTCTACTATTTCATAGCAGCCCGCTCCTGTATTTAAAACTCCTTAGAAAGCTAATAATAGTTGTTATTTGAAATTCTGTTTCAGTGTTGTTTCAGGGATTTTTAAAAGCTATTTGCCACATACCACAATTATTAACTTTCTAGACTGTAATATCTCCTGCAGTCAAACTTGGCAGTATTGCCTCATAAATATGCCCAATGAAACATCTAGACATGTAGCACTGAGAAGCTGATGCTTCAAGCTGATATTATGACGCTCTTATTCTAGTAATGGTGCTACTGAAATGTGGGTAGTCACGTATTCTGTCAACAAAGGGAAAAATGTGGAAATTTAAATTGCTTTTGGAGTAGGGAGAGTTTTTTGGTTTTGTTTTCTCTATTTAATTAAGTTGATGCTTGTCAGAGCTGAGTTGCAGTAGGTGGCTTTATACTTTTAAGTTGACTTGGAATCTGTGCTGTCTGCTACAATACTAAGAAAAGATTGATAAGAATCCTGTCACTGACTTACTAAGGCTTAATACTTCTCTTATTGCTGTGTCTAAGAGGGTTCAAATTTTGCCATCTGTAGTGAGTGTAAAAAGAGATGCTGTGTATGCTCTACACAGGCACATGCAGCACGCAAACTCAACCAAGGTATTGAAGACATGATGTTGTCTGAAACTTTATTAATGAAACTTTTGTGTTTGAGTTCTGGAGTTTAAAAAAAAGAAAAATCTGTGTCTTACATTGAGAATCCTCCCTTTACACAAGATGTCATGATAATAACTCTAGCCTATCTGGATACATTAACTTGAAAATGCCCTCCTGGATTATACAGTTGAGAAGCTGGATGAAATTTAACCCTCTAAGGTACTATTAATGATGACAGAGGTTTTTCAAGAACATTAAGAAAATATTGTGATGTTCTTCAATGAATAATCGTAAATATTCATTTTCTTTGCCAGTGGAGCCCTGAGTGGTTAGAAGAAAGTATGTTCCTGTATATAAAATTTTATATCACCAAACAAGTAATGATTGTGTGAAGATACTGTGCTGCTCTGAGCAGCACAGGTGTGGTTAGAACTTTAAACCAAATCCCTATGAAAATATTTGAGGGGGAGGAAATCCCTTCGATAGCATTCTTTCCTTTCCTTGTCCTAAAAACTTTTGTCACTAAATAACCTTTCTTTCCTTTCCTTGTCCTAAAAGCTTTTGTCACTAAATAATCTTTTTACACTCTAGTCTCTGTAGTATTTGTTCAATGCATCCTTGCCAAGCTTTTTAAGTCATAAAGATAGCTCTGTGATTACTACAGTGTTGGGTTTTTTGCTAAATTTGCTGCATGGGCTTGTGCATCCTATGCCAAGCATTACATTTGGAGAGAATAAGGAATTGAAGAATATCCGTATGCTTGCAGAGTAAGATGTAGATGTAGAAGTGCAGTGGGTTGACCCCAGTCAGCAACTGAGCAGCCACACAGCCACTTGTTTGCTTCTCCCTCTGTTGCCTTTAGAGCAGGGAAGAGAACAGGGGAAGGGAAGGTAAGAAAACTCCTGAGTCAAAATAGACTGTTTCAATAAATAAGTGAAAGAAGAACAGGTAAAGAAGTGATGCAAAGGCAGTAACTGATGCCTGGCTGGTCTTCAACTAGTAGACACCTTCCAAGACAAACACCCCCCACCCCACTCCCTTCCTTTACCCAGATATTTATTGCTGTTCAAGGTATATGGTATGGTTTGGGCCATCTGTCCTGGCTGTGTCCCCTTCGAGCTCTTTGACCATCACTATACTACTCACTTGGGCAAAGAAGAGTGGAGGGAAAAAGAGGTCTTGATCGTGTGTAAGCACACTTCAGCAATAGCCAGACAAATGGTTTGCTCTGGACACTCTTTCAACCATAAATCTAAAATATAGCATTGTATGGACTGCTATGAAGAATGTTAACTCACTATCCCTAGTAAAAGCAGGATGGCAAAAGTTATGCACACATAATCTGTATTGTGAATGCCTGTGTTTTAGTACACAAACCAATCTATGAGATAACAGACTTAATGCATTCAGGAGTAAAAACAGAGATTACTACCAAAGTTTCCTTTCCCTTCCTTGTAATGTCCCTAGCTAAATTTAGTATTTTGAAGTTATTCTGTATGTGGGAAGGAGAAAACTCTAATATTAACGAACCTCTGCACGGAGAAGCAAAATAACTTGGGAGTAACTTAATTGTTACTACGTAAATCACTCCCCTCTCAGAAAAAAATTGGACAGCAAAGGTACATAGCTGGGGAATTATTACTACATAAATGGCATTTTTCCTTTACTCTCTTGACATTATTACAGTATGATTTAGTGAATGTTTTTGCCATTTATTATAGGCTAGGAGACTATTTAAAATTAAATTTAAAAATTAATAAAAATGTAAGTAAATCTGTCATAACTAATTGCAACATTTTAATTTGTGCAAATAGCAAACTTGATTTATCTGCAGTTGAAATTATACATTTAAATGTTTTCTGATTTAGAACACTGTAACAAAATCGCAAATAGCATAGTTGCTTTGCTTCATATTATATGTATATTAATTACAAAATATGTAATTAAATTTTTTTTCAAGGTGCCTGATAACAAATTGTGGTCTCCTAATGGATAACTTTCAAATGAAGGGCCAAAGATCATGGTCTGTTAATGTTATTTATACTGCAAACAGTGCAACTGATAATACAAGGTCCCAGATTGTATATCTGAGCTATAATTCAGTTTTGCTTGTTCTGTCTTTTCCTACAAGAGGATGTAAATTGTGCTCTAGTGCTTTTGCACCAATCAGCTGAAAACCGTGACTGGACTACAGGTTTATACTCCTCTGAAAAGTGTAAGATGGTAAGCAAAGTGGCATGTGCAGCCATGCTGCATGTGTTCGTAAGTCACATCAATCCTTGGGATGACTGATTAAGGAATCACAAGCACAATGTTCTCTTCCAGTCTATTGGAGGTCTGGAGCGCAGGTCTGGTGAGGAGCAGCTGAGGCACCTGGGGTTGTTTAGCCTGGAGAAAAAAGGCTTTGGGGGAGACCTTGTCTCTGTCTACAACTACCTGAAAGGAGGTTGTAGCAAAGTGGGTGTCATTCAGATCTCCCAGGTAACTAGAAATAGGACTGGAGGAAATGGCCTCAAGTTGTGCCGGGGAGGTTTAGTGTGGATATTAGGAAAAAGCGTCTTCACTGCAGGTGTCATCGAGAATTGGAAAAGACTGCCCAGAGAAGTGAAGTATTTAAAAGATGTGTAGATGTAGTACTTATGGACCTGGATTAGTGGTGGACTTGGCAGTACTGGGGTAATGGTTGAACTCTGTTCTTAAAGGTGCTTCCCAACCCAAATGTTTCTATGATTCTATGATTTTTTTTTAACCTGTAGACTGACTTCAAACTTAACAGAGAGGTGGTAATCTCAGAAGTGATTACATTCTTAGAAATATCAAAAGAAGCGAAAAGCTGGTGGCTGGGGAAAGGGGGAAGGCTCCAAAATGGCCTCAGCAGTTCTGTCCTGCTTGCCACAAGCCAGTCCTAGTGTACATGGCCACAGCATGAGATCTTTCTCACACAGGAACTACTTGGGACTAGAATAAGGAGCAAACCCACTGTGGATATTTGAGCAGTGACAGGAACAGAATGCTATGGGTCAACACAGGTGATTTGGGGGAGTGAGGTAATAGGCTGTTGGGACTTGATGGAATATAAGAAACGTAGTTAATATGATTGTGGTGGACATGGATGAGAATAGGGTGCAATCCCATTAGAAGCCAAGCTTCATTAGTTCCATCACCAATCGAACAAGATCTTTGATTATGAAAATAAAAAAGCAGTAGCTGATGCTGATGGATAGCCTTAGAAATACATAAATAAATCTAAGACTGAAAAATAAGAAACTTACTCTTATTTTTGCTTTAGACCAGACCTATTTGATTGGAATGCTGTTGCTTCTCAGCCGTCACCTGTACAACGATTAGAACATGCATTCAACGTAGCCCGGCAACACCTGGGCATAGAGAAACTCCTTGATCCTGAAGGTAAGTAGAAATTATGAGGTTTTTTCCTCTAAGTGGAAAATAAGTTTTTCCATGTATTTGATACTAAAATTAATTTGATTTTTTTTTGTATGAGAATGTAACATTTTGCAAGATAAGTTATACACTAAAACAAAATTCTTTATCTTTTAATGTTATCTTTTTCCTTTATTGAAATAACATTAAATTGCCTGTATGTACATCCTCTAAAGCAACTTTATTTCAGCTTTGGGACCAGATTTCTAATGTGCATGCACTGAATTGAAAGTGTCTCAATAAGTTGTTGATTCCTGTTTCAAAGATTTAGAGCATCTGCAGCTTTTATATCTTCTCAAAAGATCTTAATTTTAAATTATGTTGTAATATATATCCATAATGTGAATTCAAACTCTAGATATTCATATGTTTTAAGTATGACTTATACATCTCTGTGTATTGAAATTTTATCAGGATGACATCTCATATCACTATTGTTTAATCTCACATGTCATGGAATTGCCTATTTTACCTTAACTCTATCTTTTATATGTCCTTGTGCAGTCATGTTTGAAAGGTTCCTTGTTTTTCACATGATATTTTTAATTTTGTCTATTTCTATATATTCTCTGCCATACTTCCTGTACTGCTGACAGCCTAAGTAATTTTCCCTCAGAGGAAATTTCTAAAAAATATTTTACTTTAAGGCAATGGGAACAGCTATTGTATTTCCTTTTTATAAATGCTTTTGTGTATATAAGTATATATAAAAATATTCTTTTTCCCCATACTGTGATCCATTTGCTGTATTTTTATAGAATTTCCTATTAAGCCACTAAAAATGCAGTTTTTTGTATGTTTGTCCTGTTCTCAGTGACTCATCTCATGAGTTTTTGATGGGAAGAACTAGAATTCAACAAAAAGTAAAAATGAATATAAAACAGAGCATTTAGTCTCTTAATATAACTTGCACCAGGAATGTGTGGGGTGTCTGTATCTGGCCCTGTGGAAGAAAAGCCCAGTAAAACCAGTACACCATTGCTTGTTAGTACACTGTCTTTCTTCTCTAGCACTGCGTTTTTGTGACCCATTGGAGGAAGAACAGGCTTTCTACATGCTAAAGCATGAGACTGAGCTTGTAAACTCTGAATGAGGTCGGAATTGAAAACTGAGTCGTGCAACTGAATGGGCAGTCACAGCCTTTTCTATAACTGGTTAAACTTTCTCCTTAAAACAGATTAGTGAAAAATCTATTTTCTGTATGCAGAAGTCACTTTTGATTAGACATTTTATTCTGGTTTTATACTTGTAGTTGTTTAGCCAACAACTGAAAAACTCTTAAACATTGGTGACTTTCTGAATGTCTGCTGTAAGTATTTGCTATTCAGTGTTGTAAATCACAGTGCTGACCACCTATTTTTTCCCGGCCCGTAAACTTTTCCAAAGGAAAGATAAATTCTGTACGTGTTTGAAAACATGAATTTTTGGAAGTAACATCTTTGTTCATGATAATAAATTTGTTCCAAGACTGACAAACAGAATTGCTGGTATATAAGTAAGTGAGAAATCTTATTTGATAAAGTTCTAGCATACTTTTTCTGTAATTTTACTTTTTATATCTATAACTCCTCTTGATTAGTTGCTCAAATAGCACTTTAACAGAATATTTGTAACAACACAACAATTGGAGTATGCAGTGGTGAAACATTATTTTCATGTAACTTAATACTTTTCAAAACAGTTCACGTGTAATTTGTGAACACTTTAAAATTTGTTTTAAATTTGTTTTAAAGGGTTTGTTACTTTAAATGTTTGATGTCTCAATGTTTTGAAAAAATTAAGTAGAAAGGAAGCCACTATTCAGTAAAGACCTACTCTTCTGCAGCCATGTATAATAGTCAAAAAAGAAAAGATTTGGGGGTTTTTGTCTTCTGAAGTTACTGGTGATTGAGATATGTTGAAACAGATGTCTAGGAAGTCTGTCTTAGCAATTAGATTTTGAAAATTAAATATTTATATTTTGCCAAACTTTGGTTCTCTAGGTTGTATATGAACTTTGTTTATTTCTGGGATTGCTGATATTTAAAGTCTGTTCTATGAGAGGCAGTCAGTTTATTTCTGAGGCTGTTGATATTTTAAGTCTACCCCATGAGCAGCCTTTAAAATGATGTTTCAGAATTGAATCTCCATTTCAATCACAGAAATGGTTAATATATAGCCTTTAAGTATTTCTTGTAAAAGCTATGTTATATAAGTTAAAGCTTTCATATTTTGATTCATGCAGAGATGATCATTCTTGTTATTGTCCTTACTTATATAGTTTACTAGAAATGCCTTTTTATATCAGTAGTGTATCTTAAAGAAGGTGCTTTAGTTTGGTTTTTAAGCAAGTAAACTTAACAAAACTTACCCAAGCAGATTGTATTTATACTAAGATGCTTGCATCTTAAAACACACTTGGCATCTCCAATAGAAATTTTTTCTGTGTCCTTCAATTATCTTAGAAAATTCTTTTTTTTTTTTTTTTTTTATATACAAGTCCTAAAGTAGTTTGACAACACTGTCTTGTTCCTGTTTTGATACACTGGCATTGTATCTTGTCTTTGAAGCTTGATGATGTCTTTACAGAGTATGTAACCTTACTAACTTTCCCTTAAAAATAGCAAGCAGTATGTCTTTCTGCTTATAGCTTTCCTTTAAGCAAAATTAGCTAAGGAAAGGTTGTGATTAATCAGGTGTTATCTGAAGATACAGTGTTTTTATATAAATTCCCAAAATAGGCAACATATGCGGTGTAGATTAAATTCTGCAAAGCTAATCTACAATCAGAATGTTCATAATATGAGGGGAGGGGGGAAGAAGCAAATAAACTTGTCTGCAAGAGTAGGATATGTGGTAGGAGCTGTATTCAAGCCTTTTTGCTTTCCTTTTCAGTCAGAAGATATGGGAAAGCTGACACCATTCAAGAGCAAATATTTTAAATATATGTTAGCTGTTGGTTCTTTGGTTTGATGTTGTTTGAGGGATTTTTTTCTCCTTGATGTTGAAAAAGTATGTAGAAAAGCAAAAGGGATGAGTTTCTTTCCTTTCTTCTTTCATGAAATAACAGTGGGAGATTGAGCTCTGTTTGGATGCAGGAGCTGAATGTATGTTAAGTTTGCTGATGACTCCAGTCTAGGAGGAGCTCTGAACTCCCTTGAGGGTAGAGAGGTCATACGGAAAGATCCAGACGAAAGAGGTGGGTATGAAATTTAACAAGAGAAAGTCCATGATTCTTTACCTGGGACAGGGTAATCATATAGGTGCAAATTGAGGGAAGAGAACCTCAAGAGCAGCAGTATAGAAAGAGATCTTGGGGTTGGGTTAAAGGCAAGTTGGACATAAGTGTGCCCTGGCAGCCAGAAGAGCCAACCATGTCCTGGGATGCATCAAGTATTTTGTTGTCCCATTCAGTTCTGTGCTGGTGCAGGTTCTGTGATTAGGAGAAGCTTCACACAGTGGGTGGTCAGACACTGGAACAGACTCCCCAGTGCCACTTGGTCATGGCACCAAGCCTGCCACAGTTCAAGGAGTGTCTGGACAACGCCCTTAGTCACATGGTTTAGTTTTAGGTAGTCCTGCAAGGAACACGGAATTGAGCTCAGTGATCTTTTTGGATCCCTTCCAACTCAACATATTCTATGGTCTTTTTGATTGAATCTTGTCAGTGAGTGAAATGTGAGCAGGTTTAAATGTCTATCTGGTGTTTGTTACCACAGTGTATGAAAGATAACAAGAGGAAAACGTAAGATTAGGCATGGAAAATTGGTGGATGTCAGCAGGCAGAATTCAAAGGAAAAACATGTAAATTGAACTTTTTAGGCTGAAGTATGCCTGCATGATTCACAGTGACTTTCTGTTGTAAGACATTTATGATTATTCAGCTAAGGTATTTCAAATCTTGATGATAATCTCTCTCTGGCCTCAAATCGGGAGGCCTGGAGACACACCATCTATAACGCAGCTGTCTCCTTTGAGAACACACGCAGGATCACTCTCAAGGAAAAAAGGCAACGCAGAAAGAACCGTGTCTTGCAGAATACACCATCTAAGGAGTCTTTCTGCTGTGCCTTTTGCAATCGGATATGTCTGTCACATATTGGCCTCATAAGCCACCAGCGTGCCTGTAGCAAATGTGGATAGAGCCTTCCCAAATCTTCGTTCGTGAAGCCCAGCCATGATGATGATGAATAATCTCTCTGATCCTTTCAAAGAATAAATAGTTATTGTGGTTTGCTCAAAACTAGTATTTGTTGCAAAATATTAGTTGCCAAAGCCAGGTAATTTTAATACTGATTTCTCTTCAGATTTGAATGGCAAAGCCAGTTTGTGGGTAAACTTCTATTGCAGTAATTTTATTTTTTTAATGTTAATTTATTTTCCTTTTTTAAAAAATAAAAAAAAACAATTACTCTTGATACAACTAAGAAAAATTTCGGACTGATTTTTTCACACTTTTCTGCTGCCTGTTGTGGTTTTCTGAATGTAAATTTCAGAAGATATACTGAAAGGTACTATGTTGATTGTTGTGTATCTGCTTTTTCAGAAGCATCTTTTTTAATTTCACTAAGCAAGGAATAGGACAAGCAAACAACAAGTGTTGTGGTCAGAAACACATTGTAGTTACATGCTATTGGCTGTATAATGGCTTTTACCCTTTACTTTGGGAATGATCTCTCAGAAACTGAATCTGGGAATACATCTGAGCTGTTCTCTTTCCCCTTACAACAAGTAGTGGGGTAGCAGCAGCAGCATAAGTGTCTCTGTGCTTCCTTCTAGCAACAAACATCTGATTCTTGATTTAATGAACTTGTCCCTGCTGTCATTTTGCTGGGTCTTGTGCTTGTTTGTGCTAGCCCGATAATAAATGGACTGTGAAGTTATATAATGGTATTTCTGCTGTCCTTTTCAGGTAAAGTAATTATCCAGTTTCTTATACTTTGTGTAGCCTGATAAAAAAACCCTCATTTAATCTGTCCCAGTCACAT